GGCTTGTTTGAATGACGTTCGTTAGCTTTTGAGGACATTGAAAGATCCCTTTCAATGTTTCCATATGTTTGTAGTTTGTGTATGAGGTGTCCGAGAACACCCGAAGATGTTTAGACTATGCTCTTAGTTGTTTCCAACTGTTTTTAGAACCTTTGTGAAGCGTAGAACTGTTTTGAGTATGGTTTTGCATGTCCACAAATGTCCCGAGAACATTTGTGAACCTTGGAGAACGTTCGTCACTTTGGCTCAAGTGTGCGGCGAAAAGTGTGCGTGTCTTTTGCATGCTTTTTCTTTCGTTTTCGACTCGGGTCGTTGAGACACTTGACTGACTAGGTGTTTTGAGCACGAGAGCTTTTGATTTTCCGTCAGGAGTTTGTGTGCCAAACTTTCACGCAGGCAGGCATTCCCACGGGTGCACCACACACCGTCCAAACCACAATGGCGGATGGCAAGGAATCCAAAGACGACGTGGCCACCAGAGGGTCTTTCCCCTGTCCTTCCCTTTTCTGGCCGGTGGTGGATCAGGGACTGGTCCTGCCATTCTTTTGTCCATCTTGTCAAGGGCCCCTTCCGGGCGGAACCACCCAGAACGGAAGCAGTCAGTCGCCCTTGTGATGCGGTTGTCCAAGCGAGGAGCGAACCAACCTGATCTGGATCATTGCAGACACATCGTCAGGTCTGGCCTTCGTGCCTTGTCAATGGGCGGGTGTTGTTCCCGAGAGTGTGATGGGTTCTTCAAAAAAAAGAACAATCTTGCATCTTCACATCTGACACCCACGTCTCAGACCTTCACTTCTCAGATCCTCACATCTCAGATCTTCACATCTCAGGCCCTCACATCTCAGACCTTCACTTCTTATACCCTTATGTCTTCTTTTCTTTTCTCTGTTGAGCCGAGGCAGGAACCACGAGAAGTGTTCCGGTGCAACCCTCTGCGGCGAAACGTGCGTCAAGTGTCAAAAGCTCGATGTTCTTTGCGATTTTGAGTGTGTCGGTGCCCTTTGCGGCGAAAGGCGTGTGAAGTGTCAAAGACTCGAGGTGTGATGTTGGGACGACTTCAACGTCCACATCAAGACATTCTGACAGCCTTAGATAATTGCAAGACAGCAGAAGGCTTCAAGAGAAGCTTGCAGTTCATCAAGAGAATCAACAAGCAGCGAGAGAGAGAGAGAGAGAGGCCGTTGATAGAGCAGTGAGAGACATTAAGCGTGAGGAGATGCAAGAGACAGAAGGCACGCAAGAAAGGTATAGAAGAGGAGAAGGATTTCCAGCATGCAGAATTATGAGAACGCTATCAGTGGGAGCTTACTGGAAGAAACTGCAATCCCGGAGACTGCACTTTGGTGCGACTTAGAATCCAAGAAGGAGATCTTTAAGATGTGCACATGGCAGCTAATGGAGCTGGCAGCCCGCAGTTCAAGTGACAGACCAGGAAATGCACAAGAAGGCGAACCGCCTACAACCAGAAGGAGGTTGACTTTCAATGAAGAGCAGCTGAACGAGAGCAATGCTGATGGTGCGGCGCAGGCAATGAGAGCTGATCTCCATGGACAAGAGAGTCCATAAGTTTCACGAAATACAGACCAGAAAGGTCATGTGCTGGTGTGCCCGCAATAGAACATGCACGCACAAGGCAGGGTGTTGGACCACATTCTGCAGATCACATAGCGCAGACATGTACAGCAGTTGACATGCACCAGTGGTTTCTCAGTGTTCGAGCAAAGCGGCCGCTTCCGTTTCTAACAACATTTCAATTTCGGTTGGATATTTCACCATAAGGACGACTTTTTAAAATCTAGTTCGAAGGGACATCCGAAAACAATTTTGTCACGGTACAAGTTGTAGACCACTCAAAACAATCCTGTCTGAGATCTTTCATTTTGCCGTTTGTTTTCTTTTTGGGCTCTGTTTTCCTGACTGTTTTTTTCTTGCCTTGCTAGCTTCCGTGTGCTCCCCTTCTCAAGTTTTCTTGTTTCTTACCGCTGTTCAGTTGCCAGTTTTTGCAATTTTGTTTCACATCCTGCCGCGCATCCACACGCTTTATTCCATCCGTGGCCTTAGGCCACGGTAGCGTTTGTCACCCACCCCCGGCCTCAATTCATGTCGGCATATGTGGGAGATCTGTGCACTTGGGCATGGCATTTGCAGCATTTGTGTTTGAGTTCGTGGGAACATTCGCGTTGCGAAGATTTGCGATGACAATGCGAAGCTTTGTGATCAGAATCTTAGTTTTAAGCAGTGTTGTTTTTGCTGTGGACATTTTGTCCTAAAGTAGAACACAAAATATCTGTATAGAATATTCTTATCATTGAAATCTTGCAAACTACATTGTCTAGGAGTCACTGATAGGCAGACAAAGCACCAAGGGATTACAGACACTGATATTTTGAGGTTGATCTCTGTCGTGTTGGTCAGTTGAGTCGCTAAGACATAATTTCACTTTTCTAAGTTTTTCGGTCGACATTCTGAACACAAACCATAAATAGGTCACCTGCCTGATGCTGAGGCTTGTTGGTACCTTTAGTGTGTGGGACGTGCCTTGACGGTGGCATCCCACCCTCTGAGCGGAAGAACCTGGCCATATCCTCAGTTTCCCATTCAACTGGAACGGACACTGCCAGCTTTTCGATGACTTCCAAAACTGGAACTGGAACGACAAATGCAACTTCCAATCAGCACATTCCGGAATTGTTTCAGCAGGCCCCAATGGCAACTGCCGCAATGATGAGTAGCTCTCCGTTTCCTAAGTGAACTAAACATGTTCCATTCCTGTCGGTGGAAAAACAATTTCAATTCCCTTCTTGACCTTTCCTGCAAAGATATGTTTGCCTCAGGACAATCCGAATGGTGATTCCTATCCTGTTGGCATCTTTGTTCCGGATTGGGCTGCATCATGGGCAGCCAATACTCTGGTGGCAACAATCGTGGAGGAGTCTTGTTGCAAGAACAGCGGGGTAAAACGTAAAACACCTTTGATCTGGGATGTCCAGAGATGCTTTCCTTGACACTTTCCTTGACAGCTCAGTATTTCCTGGTCACACTTTGCAACACATCCAGGTTTCAACTTCTCTCATTGTTTGAGTGATTTGATGTGCACTCGACAAAAGAGTCTGTGTTGTCAGACCAGGGTGGTTTTGACCCTGCATCCTGGTCTCGCGAGTTTGAATGCAAGAATAGTTACCATGACCGTTTTGATCATTTAGGCAACTGCCTCCGTTTGGCGACAACGTGGAAGTAGTTGACGAAGAACTCACAGTTCTGTTTGCGCTTCTCCCACTAGAGCCGTGTCTATTTTTGCATTTTGTGGTGACACCTTGCTCAATTTGGGCACTTGGGCTGATGCAGAATTCTATTTGGTCTGATTTGTTCTATTTGTCCCACAGCCGACGGCGAGTAGGTCGAAAAGTGTATTTGGGCCAGCCATTGAAGAGGGATGAAGTGATTCGAGTGTAGATAAACTAAGTTGATGGAGGGTGCCACGGCCCACGTGCGAAGGAGACCTTTGGCTACAACGTGAGCCTTGTGAAGGGCACCGGAACGGTGAGTGGCTACTATGCCGTCAGCGGCTGCCTAGATCCCACCGCGGTAGGCGATCCTGGCTGTGGCTCAGGAAATGTGCATTGGCAACCAGTATGGAGGTATAACTGGTGGGGATGGGGTGTAACGATGGACTAATGCCATACACTTCTCTGAAACATGCATCTCCTGATATTTCCGGACTTGATTTCTTTGTGACCTATGCCTATGCCCTATGCTTTGAGGTCACCAAACATCACATCGTGATGGAGGCTTGGACGCTTGGCTACCCTTTGGTGTGGGAGACGCTGCAGAGCGAATATCCAGGTGTTGCAGCAAAGAACTTGGGAAACATGGGATATGAAGGTATCACCTCGACCTTCATTCCGAAGCCCGTGCAACAGAAAGCATACCAGGCGGAAGGAATCGCCTTGCAATACTTCAAGTACTGGAATGCTTCTTGGTACCAGCCTTCCAAATACTTTGAATCTATCTCAGTGATTCCCTCTCGGTTGACCAAACTTTGCAGCGACTCCACGTCTGTGATGACTGATGATGCAACTATGAGGAGGCACATCGTCTTCACAGGAGATGTTGATGGCTTGGTCTATGACAGCACTTCTGATTCATATTCAGCCCGCTGTGATGATGGTCATTGGTGGCTTTCACCTTCTTGCCGATCGAACTCTACACTTTGCGTTCCCTTCATCACTGGGGGTGTTGGTTGGGGCATTGAAGAGCTGATGCAGAAATCGACCAAATGGAACATGCCCATGGCCCTTGGTGTGGCAGCATCCTGGAGCGCTTACACGGAGTTTCCCTTTCTGCATCCAAAATCTCACTTCTATTGGTGGATCCCAGATCCAACCTTTCTGGAGTTGGAGCCACTTCAGGTGATCTATCCACCGCATAACAAAAGAGTTTTCGAACGTGGTGATTTGTCGACCGCAACAATAGGCGTTTCGGTTGACAAGCATGTCAGCCGAGACTTGAGCATTTTGGCGCCCAATGTGGAGAATTTTGTGAGCAACATTTTTGTGACCATGGCGCAAATGAATGCGATTCTCCTTGATCAAAAAAATACATCTGATAGCTGGAGAGAGACAACATGCCGTTGGCTGCGTTCAAATAAGAATGTCTGGCAGTCCTGGATCCCTGATGAGAGTCAATGCTTCCCGGGCTTTGGGCTTTATGACACAGGTCTTGATGACTTCATAGATCATCGGGTGAATGCCTCAAGCAAGATCGTGTGTCAGGCCTGTGCGGTGCAGATTTGGAGGATCAACAACTTCACAGTTCTATTCACTGGATTTCATGTGCAGGGAATAATGTAGAACTTGGGGCGTTTAGAATCTTAGAACTATTTGGGATGCAGTGCTGAAAAAGCTATTGAAGCATTGACATTGTAGGGCATGTTCTTGATGGGAACATGACACTGTATTGATTCGTCAGATTCCATCATTTCATGTATGAAGACCAGATTTTCCATTCCCACTATGTCAAGTTTGTAGCATTTCTGGAAGTCCCCTGCAGGCTTGCCCCTCGGGTACCTTCTCACAGCTCTTGGAAGATTCCATTGGCGAGACCTACATCTGTGTACCATGTGCCAAAGGAAGAAGCCAACCTCTTGGCGCGGCCACATCGTGCAATCTTTGCAAATCAGGTTGGGAAGAGCGAACGGGGGGAGAACCGGAGAGCCGTCGCCTCCACGGGATCCGCAGTAGGAGTCGTCTCCACGGGCATGGCTACAGTAAGCCCAGTAGGAGTCGGCCATGTCAAGCATTGGCGATGTTGTAGTGACCAGGTCAACATGACATTTCAGGACAGTTTTACATAGTTGTGAGCTTTCCCAAGTAATGGGGTTGAAGCATGAAAATCAGAGGCGCCTGTCCATATGTTCATGCAGGCGAGTATCAGGATGAGATTGGGAGCAAAACTTGCAAGCGCTGTGAAATTGGCCTCTACCAGGAGCTTAGAAACGACTACAGCTTCTCATGACTCATGACCCTGTATCATGATGTCTTGCTGGCTTTACAGCGATTAATTGGTTGATCGATTGGTTGGTTGGTCGGTGGATGGATGGATGGATGGATGGATGGATTGATTGATTGATTGATTGATTGATTGGTGTATGTTTCACAAACCGCATTGGCTTGTGGCCTTCTGACTTGGCATAACAACGTCTCAACTCTCAACTCTCAGAAAGACACATGTTTCACCCGACTCTCGTCAACGCTCACAGCAGGACGAACTGGGAGCTGAAATGTGCAAGAGCTGCCCAGCTTCCACGACCACCCTGGGTTTAGGAGTCTCAGTCTCGGTCGTCGGACGATCAGAGTGCGCGGCGGTCCAGAGATGCACCGTCTCGAGTTGGTGCGGGAAGGGGCTCCGAGACGTAGGCAGCCCAGAAAGATTGGTTGGGTTTTCCACAGTTTTGTTGGGTTTGGTGAAGTGCACTGCCTTTTTGGACCTCAGGATACTCCATTGGTCAGGATACTCCATTGGCCACTCAGGACGGAATCTTGTGGAACCCATAGTATTCAGGGCCGATTCCTCATTCCCCGCACTGCACGCACGAAAGGTGCACTGAAAGCGGTTCCGGGGAGGATCTACGAATCCAGGTCTAGACCTATCCCCCGAAACCAGTAGGAAGAAGCTACGAACGTAGCGATGCGGGCATCGCGTGACTGATCTCCCGCGGATCTCGAGGATCGGTTGGCCAAAAGGATTGCGGTTGCAGGGAAAACAACATCAACATCGATGTGTCAGGCGCACCGAGTGAACCACCCGACAGACACCTGACCATCCAGTCAGATTGTTGGTTGCTGATTTCTGATGCTATATCAGTTTGACTCTGTTTCTCAAGATCCTGTAACCGGAACTGGTGAAGCTTTTGCGGCCAAAAGGCAAGCTTTGACCCGGTCATGTCCAGTGCCAGGCTCCTACAATTGCGTGCCATGCAGCGAAGGTTTGACATGTCCGCTGAAGTCCACGCTCGTTGCACGGCTGAAAAGGTCTACTGTAGGATTAGAAGGAAGAGAGGAATTGACATTTTTTTTTTGATTTCTGGCCACTTGTAATCCTCTTAAAGGCTCAAAGTCAGAGCCGTATTTCAAGCAATGTATTCCGTCAACTTGACGTTCTGGATTCTGAGGCTGACTTGGAAAGCGGCGAAAGCTATCTCGGCCAGCAGTACACCCCGAAGGTGCAGGAAGGATACTTCAGCACAGTGTTGGCGCCAACCGAGGTGCGAGACTGCGAAGAAACAAAGAAACCAGCATTACCTGCTTCTCTTTGTTGATAGCAGATCCCAAGTTACTGCAGTGGCTTCCACACATGGATTTCCAGGTATATCGATGCGGAACTGTTGCGGCCTGCCCTGGTGGCAAGCCTGGCTCATGCAGTGGAGGGCTCACGAACACACCCTGCGCACAATGCCGTCCAGGCCCAAGGAAGTGGCAGGTGGAAGGTTAAACAAGTGACCGAGCAAGCTCTCCCCACGATTGACTCGGGGCTCGATCCTCCGCTCATGCTTTTGGAGAATATACTTTACCCCTGATCGAATATCCACGAACGCCGCAACTCGTCTTCTCAAGCTTCATGGAACACTGGGTGGGGGGTCTCGTCACCCTCTTGCAGGCTTCCACATACCTCGCTTGCCCAGCTCACTGTCATCCGAGCGTTCTCGCCCCGTTCGTTTTTGGATTTGCTACAGGTATCCTGGTTTGCATATCCCTGGTTTCCATCTGTGGTTGTCTCTTTCTTTGGCATTTACCTGCTTTCCGGCCTTGGATTTCTCAGTCTCCGGTCGTGCGCCGGGCTTCGAATAGGTTGAGGGGGTACTTGCATGAGCACTAGGGCTTCGTTAGCTCCGCTTCGTGCTGAGTTGCTCAAAGTTTCTGAGGATCTTGCATCTATAGGAGAGAGAGTCAAGCAGTTGGCCCAGCGATTGAACGAGCTGGAAGGTTCAGCGAACGAGGATTTAGAGTGGGAGGTGATCGAGGAAGGGAACCTGCCCCTTGGGGTGTCAGACCTGGAATTCCCCTACCCAGGCGCAAGTCAGGTCCCGCAGGCACAGCCGATACCCTCCGTGCCTAGGTACCTGTCGGATTTGTGTCAGGAGAGGTTGAAGTCAGTTGCATCCATTTCCCCCCTGGAACGAGCTCAGAGGGCTTTCACTCAGGGACATCTGGCCTGGGTGGCCAGAGTGACCGGGCTGCACTATAGGCCAGCAGACGCGGTGCCTGCGCTCCCGAGCGCTCATTTCGTAGTCATCCGGGGTCTGGGACTTAGTCAAGCTCTTAGGACAACCACCAAGCGTGAAGCCCTCCGTGCCTTGGCAGTTCAGGACGACACAGCTATCATTGAGGATTTCCCATCATTCATTGAGGTGCAAGTGTTCTGCGTGGGCGCGCGCATCTGCGTGCCTCCACTGAAGCGATGCAAAGGTCCAGCCTCCGCCTCGCGGAAGTAGGGGACCCAAATCTCCTAGTGTTCTCAATCCCTTCGGAGGTTTCAAAAACCGGAGGAAATTTGCAGGTTTTCGCTATACCTGTCCTGCAGAGGGACGGTGGATTTTTGGTTGCACTACCAGTGGAGTCATTTTCGAATGAAGCTCTGGAGACAGCAGCACATGCAGACGAGCACGAACTTTTGGGGCCTTCCCACACATGTGTCGCTCAGCTCAGCGAGGAAGATGAGAATGGCCAAGAGGTCATGATAGACCAGGAGATCCTGGTCCTCTTGGTGGATGTGTCGAACCAGGCACTGCAAGCTCTTAGGGAGTATGATCCAGTGACGGACTCACTGGAGACGATTCATCCTTTTGATGATCAGTTTCCCCTAGCACTGCCTACAGCTGCCTCTCTGGTTGCCGCTGCCAAAGCCTGGATGGGAGAAGAAGATCAGGGCAGGCTAAATTTTTACTCGGCTCGAGAAGAGCCGGCAGAAACTCCTGTACGCTCAAAAGCGGCTGCGAAGAAGGCCACCCCCAAGAAGATCACAAATGCAGTCCTGGCGGAGCAGGTAGCATCCCTCTCCTCACAGGTGGAGGCCCTGATGGCATTGCAACGTCAAGCACCTACAGAGCCCGCCAAGGCGGCTGTCACATACGCAGAGCCTGCCGGAGGACAATCGCCTGGCGTCAGCAGACATGCATACCCACAGCTTCCGGCCCTGGGGCAAGGCTTTGCCCACCTAGGTCATCCCAAGGAAGCCACAGCAAAGAAGGTAGCCGCAATGGTGGGGCCACCGCCCAAGACCAGAAAAGCTCCCCCGGCTCAAGGGGCCTTAGCACTACCAGACCCGTTCATACCAGAGGAACCACGAGATCTCTTTCCAGCGCAGATAGAGACTCATCCCATGCTCAGTGCGTTAGCCCAGCAAAGCACGGCTCTGACCACCTTGGTCTCGCACTTGGCGGGTCATGCGTCGGACCCTTTGGTGGATCTGCAAGCAGGAGGCCTGTCGGGAAGTTCTTCTTCTACAAGAGGCGTTGCCAGGAGAGAAAGGATGCAGACAGACCTGGCCTTGCGCCAAAGTCAGTACTGGCTTGCATTCCTGCAGCAGCTGTCCAGGAAGATGAATCCCTCAAAGCCAGTTCCTACAACGGAGGAGGCTGCAAAGGATGCAGGCCTGTCTTTCCTGGCCTACCTGGAGAGACATGGCGCCTACAAGCAGTCTCGGGAGCTGGGGACCATTTTGTGGGTCTTTGGATACATCATAGATGCTGCCATTGCGCAAGATTTCGATGGTGTAAAAGAGCACCTGGCTTTGTTTGCAGCCGCCCTAGACCAAGCTGCTCTGGATCAGAGTTGGACGACAGCGTTCCTGGTGACTCTGGTGGAGGAGCCTCCTCCGGTGCTCTTTGCAGAGAAGGGAACCTCACTGTCAGTTGCCAAGCCATTCACCCCCCTCATGCCTGCCGTGTGTGGGGGGGTCCTTCTAGCCTATCTCAAGGACATCGACATCATGACCAGCAAGAAACAAGAGGGAGGAGGAAGGAAGACCGGTCAACAGACCTCGCAAGAGCAGAAGGAGGGGGAAGCCTCTCCAAAACGCAGACCCCCCTTCCCGAAGAAGCCCAAAGGGGGCAGCCAGACACAGGCGTGAACAATGAGGCTGGCCAGCTGACAGGAGAGGCGCAACCAGCACCTCCTGTCGACAAAGGTCAGGAGAATTCAAAGCATGTTAGACCTGGAGAACACGTCTTCAGCAAGTACAACCATGAAGCAAAATTCAATGCATTGCAACAAGACATGACGCTTACAAAGTGGTGCGCATGCTTGACCTCGGCAGTCTTGAGGACGAGGACTCCTTTTGCTGCCCACTTGGCTCAGACTTTCCACCTGCATCGTACTGACCTCAGTACGGCACTGGCCTTTTTCCAGGTCCCGCTCCCTACAGGTGAGCACTGGGCACGGATGCCCCCAGACCTCTCTCAGAAGAGGCGTAGACAGGTCCACTTGAATCGTGCAGTCCACATCATTGTTTTGGCTTTGAACTACTACCACAATGGTGGCCCACGCAAGCTGGATTTGTTGGGGAGAGCTCCTTCTACTTCGCACCGGAGCCTTTATGCGAGGATCAGGAGCTTGATAAGGTCAGAGGGCCAAGTTGCGATTCCATGTATTGCAAACTCTGGCCGTAGGTTACCTCAATTAGTTGCAAGGTTGTCAGAGCTTTCAGTGGCATTGACGGCTATGGGGCCCTCCTGTAACCCCTATGACCGAAGCTTCGATGGCTTTGAAGTGCTTCCGGATACGGAGGCTGATGAGTTGAAACCATACAGGAACCTGGACTCATCCAGACTGGTTTTAACAGGCAGAGGGGCATGGGATGCCACAGAGTATCTCGAGGACGAGCTAGTACTGGCCTACAGAGAGCCGGCCTCTCTTTTGTTCAGCCATGAACCATGTCCGTCACAGGTCCCAGCAATTTCTGACCATCCTTCGGAAGTGGCAGCGCTGGCGAGACTTTGGGACAATCAAGATTTGTTGTACTTACATGACGGCAAGGATTTTGAGCTGAGCCCACAGTGTTTTACAAGGGTGTTCAACGCCTACAAAAATGCCAAGATGGACAGACAGATCGGAGACCGGAGGTCTAGAAATAGTTGCGAGAGCCGTGTGCGAGGTCCGAGCACTTTTCTCCCCTCTGGGCCTGACTTGTCAGACTGGTATTGCAACCCCAAGACCCACTACGTTGCACAGGGGGTCACTGATCGCAAAGATTTTTATCACCAGTTCCATGTCTCTAGAAGTCGCGCTTTATCGAACACGGTAGGCCCTGCGGTTGAGATCGAAGATGTAAAGAACCTCAAGGCCTATTCAGATTACATCTTGCGCCAGGCAAAAGGGCGCTACCAACGAAGCCTTCACGGAGACCGCCTGGGGATGAAAGGCCTGAGAGCAGCGCAGAGGAAGCCTCAGCAACTGTTTGTGGCCTTCAGATCTGTGCTACCAGGGGATCATGCAGGGGTTGATATAGCCACCAGCGCTCATACAGCACTTTTACAATCTCATGGCCTTCTAGAGGAGAGTTGTCAGCTGCAGAGTTGTAAGCCTCTTTTTGACCTGGAGAACTGTGAAGGACTGTGCATAGACGACTACTTTGCTATGAGCCTGGAGCAAGTAGGCACTCCGTTGCAGGCCTCAAAAGCCAGCCAGAAGATAGGCACAGCACGGGCTGCCTATAGGCAGGCCGAGCTGTTGGGGAGCCCGGAGAAGGACATCCTAAGTGATAAAGCGAAAATCGTAGGTGCGGTCGTGAACTCATCCTCAACCGCTAGGGATCAGGGGTTGGTCACCCTGTCCGCCCCGAACGAAAAACGGATTGCGTTATCAGTGATTAGTTTGCAACTTGCCACACTCACACACACCACCGATGCGTTGCATGTTTGCCTGGTAGGAGGGTGGATTTCTGCAGCCATGTATAGGAGGCCTGTTATGGGGCTCTTCCACAAAGTTTTCAGCTTGGTCGACAGTGCCTCTATTGACCCAAACCATCCGAAGATCATCCGCTTGCCCAGGACCACCGCAAACGAGTTAGTTCTGGCCTCGGTACTAGTCCCACTCATGTGCGCCGAACTTAGTGCAGAGTTCAGCACTCAGGTTTTCTGTAGTGATGCCTCAAGTAATGTGGGAGCGTTTTGTGCAGCCACTGTGCCGCGTGCAGTCTCGAGAGTGCTTTGGAAAGCCTGTAAGTCAAAGGGTGCATACACACGCATGATGTCCCCGGTTGAAGCGGAGATCTTTAAGCTCGGAGGCTCGGAAGAGTTCGAAGGGAAGGAAGAGGTAAAGCCGACCTCGATCAGAAGGCCCTTGGCCTATCGGTTTGACTTTATAGAACTTTTCGCAGGAGCCGCAAAGGTCACCCATTCCATGGAAGCAAAAGGCTGGTCAGTAGGGCCCCCCATTGACTTGAGTCACAGCCCCGAATATGATATGACTAGCCATTATCTGATGTCATGGTTAAGCCATTTGATTCAGAGTCATGCCATAAAAAGTTTTGCCTGCGAACCACCGTGTACTACTTTTTGCATCATGCGACGGCCGCAATTGAGGTCAAAAGAAAGACCATATGGCTTCGATCCTAGCCATCCACAAACCCACACAGGCACCGCGCTTGCCCTTCGTGGTTTGCAGTGCCTTGAGTTGGGATGGAGACACGGGGTCCCAGGGTGGCTTGAAACTACGTATTCATCTAAGATGAAGTTTCTCCCACCTTATAAGACTCTTAGGGCCAAAAGGTGCGTGGACTTTTGTCGAACCGATTCGTGCCGTTTTGGATCCCCTCACTTAAAACCTTTTGCTTTCCTCAGCGTTTGGGCTCCCCTCGACCGTATCCGTCAGAGATGCGTCTGCAAAGGCAGGCATGTAGTGATCGAAGGAAAACTCACGAAGGCTAGTGCCATGTATACTGATGGGCTGGCCGACGCCCTGGCCACTGTCCTTTCAGAGGCCATCAATGCCAGGGCCAGCGCAGATCTCGAGTGGGATCAAGTCCAGACGGCAGGGCTTGAGAATGCTTTAGTGAACCAGGTTGCTCTTGAAGCACCCTGGTCTACCCTGAGGTCCTGGCCTTTTCGTCGCCCGGTCCACATTAATATCCAAGAAGCTGTCTCAGTCCTTAAGGTAGTTGAGCATTTGATTTTGAAGTGGGGACCTCAGAGGGCAGCCATTTTGGTCGACTCCAATGTTGCGAGGTGCGCAGTCTCTAAGGGACGCACTTCCTCGAAAGGTCTGATGCCTGTCATTGCTAAGGTAAATGCCTTGTGCCTAGCAGCGGGCGTGCAGATCTGTTTACCTTTTTGTCCCACTAGACTAAACCCATCAGACGACCCAACCAGAGGAGCCGCTCTGAGAAGCCCCATTCAAGGCTGTGACTTGTTTAGTTTTTCGGAGGGCGAACTTGCGCAGCTCTCAACTTGCGCCGGCCTTAGACGTTGGAGCGCAAATTGGGTCCGCCTGATGCTCAGCTTGCTAGGGCCCGGCCTTGTTTTCTTAAAGGATCGGAGCCGCTTTCGATCGCCCTGTGCCTTGGATTTCAGACCGTCGCTTCAAACACACTTCGAGAAAGGTTTTGATCAGACCCTTGGATACCCAGGGGAGGGGCCAGGCACTTTCGAGCCTGCTTCTCGGCACACGGTTCTGCATAACTGTCGGCTGGAATTTGATAGAACCTTGGGTTTCCCTGGAGAGGGTCCTTCTCCACTCCTCTTCATCTCTCTGCTCCTACTCCTCTGTTTGTTTCAGGGCAAGCGAGATGCGCCTCTCTTGTGGATTTCAGGAGCCATTTTGGGGGGGCCGCGATACGCCATGGGAATGCCACTGAAACCACGAAACTCTGGAGATAGAGCGAGAGCTGAGCACAGAGCCCAGAAGTTACCTTTAGCTTCAGGACGACCTGTACTGCAGATCACCGCCAAGCACCGAGAGGAACTTCTGGAGGCCTTCAGAGCCTGGCTGCTGACAAGGGGGTTGGAACCTGGTGACCTTTTTCACAATACCTATCAGACAGTTGAAGAAATCAACATCTTGTTGACAGCGTACGGCCGTGAGCTGTATCGGGCCGGCAGGCCACTCAACCACTTCTCGGAGACCATAAATGCAATAGCATCCTGGAAGCCACAGCTGAGAAGGGCCCTTCAAGGGGCCTGGGACCTGGCCTATAGCTGGGTCAAATCCGAACCATCTACACACCATACAGCTATGTCTCCCCAGGTTCTGATGAGCTGCATCTCAGTCTGCTTGATTTGGGGTTGGGTGCGTCTGGCAGGCTGCCTAGCCCTAACATGGGGAGGTTTACTACGGGCAGGTGAACTCCTACAAGCCCGACGCCAAGACCTGCAGCTGCCGTCGGATCTGGCAGGAAGTGTGCCCTTTGCACTCCTTTCCATAAAGGAGCCGAAAACAAGGCACACAACCGCGAGGCACCAGTGTGCCAAGCTCGACATTCCAGACTTGGTGCAGCTGGCAGAGCTCGCCTTCCAGAAGTTAGCGCCCTCCGAACCTCTTTGGGACATGAGCGCTCAAACGCTCAGGTCTAGATTCAAGAGCCTACTACAAGCCCAACGACTTCCAACAAGTACTTACAGAGGGATGAGAGCACTTGACTTGGGATCGCTCCGCCCAGGCGGAGCAACGCACATATTACAACTGACTGAAAGTGGAGACTTGGTGATGCGCCGCGGGCGCTGGGCAAGCTATAGAGTAATGAGCATTTACATTCAAGAAGTTACCTCTACCTCCTTCCTGTCAGTGTTGGACAAGGACGTGAGAGACAACATCCTTGACCGAGCCCAGTGCTTCTCTTACTTTTTGGAACAGGCAAAGGCTTTTGAATCAGCTAGGATCCCAAGAGATGTATGGCACTTTTTGTTTGGCGCCACCCAGAAGAAAGACGCTTGAACGAGCTGGGGTTGAATGGGAAGAACGGGTGGCTTTGCATTCCAGATGAGCTAAGTTTGCTCTCTGTGTGTGT